CGGATGGATTTGCCACAGGGCTTAGGTCTTTACGTTGAGGACTCACCCGTGGACAGCAATAATAGGAAGAATTGGCCAATTCCCATGGATCCTAACAGATTGCAGATTGCAATAGGCAAGACTAGAAGCCATCGTGAAAATGCCAAGTAAGAAAAATGGCCGACCATGGTTGCCCAACGAATGATGATTCTTATTTTTCTTATTTAAAAATATTCTTAACTCGATTTGCTGGTGTTTTGAAAAGTCCTTGTATAGCAGAGACTAAGGTTAGTCCCTGGCTATATATCATTTCGCCTCCAATCGTATCAAGTCCGCTCATAACTTCTGCCCGAACTGCTGGGCCCTAATACCGGAAACTGTATTATGGTTATTTTCAAGGATGCAATTCCTTTTTTTCTTTTTTCCTTTGTAGTTCGTCCCAAGCAGTTGAGGCAGTGAAAAGGCAAAATTGTGTCCATGGATGGACCTTCCGCTCTTTTCGGCTTGAATACTCCAACTTATATTATACATATATATATACATATATACGTCTTTATAGATATGTTTATAGATGTGAATATAATATACTGTAGTACTCTATAACACTATAATACAAAATAACCCCGGGAGGCGTCCTGCATGAAGCTCTTTGGGGGAGGAAATCCTAAAACCCGTCCGTGCGTCACAGCGTCCGTGCGCTACTCCGTATACTCGACGTCATATAGGGGTCTGGCCTCTAATTAGCCTACTCCGTCTAGGTACTCCGTAGTAAATTTCATAGTAGGGTTATCGCCTTGGCTAACACTGTGATTGGCACAGCCATGATTTCTTGTGGTAAATCTTAAGTATGATTGGTAAATTGTCGGCTTACGTTGGCTGCAATTCAAGGTTATGATATTCCATTCTAACTCTCACCTCGACAGAGGCGGGATATCCAGAGACAACACACTATTTCTCTCAAATAATCCCCACAACCTACGGTGCGGGGGATCACTCGATTGACTGGCAAAAAAGGGGCTAAGCAGACTGGACAAGGATGAGCGCGGGGTTTAACGAGCATACAATATTGTACTTGGCAGTCTACCCCAGGCCCTGCTCGAACTAATGTACTAGCCTGTTCATTAGGAAGTACATCGATGAACCCATCCTCACTTCAGGAAGTATCTGGCTGGATTGGAGCAGATGCCCCCGCTGTCGCATGTGGAGTGGGGAGGGAGATGGCTGATATATGCCGCATTTTAAGCAATAATACTCATACTATAGTATAGGATTAGAGCGCAAGAATACCAATCACTCCTACAATTGCTGTACAGTTTGCCCCGCGCAGTGGAAGTTCGGCCTGAACATCCGAGACAACACGCTCTGCAGCCATTTCCGGCGCCGATGCATGCGACTCCAAACCAAGCTAATCCTGTAAGAGACCTAGAGCAGCGAGCATGGGCAATTGTCCGGGTTGGCTACTCCTTGACCTTTTCAAAAATAATATAATCTTATGCATGATATGCTGTCTTCATTCCATTCTATTCCATATGCAGGTTCAAACCACTAATTAATTTTCTCCAAGACGCATGTACCTACAGTACCTACAGTCCCCGAGCGCCACCTGTACCGCAAAAGCGATCAAAGCACACGAAGACGAGCATGGTCTCTGCTGCGAGGCGCAATACTATTTCTATCCCCAATTCTATATCCCTCATCCACTTCGGGTTCTGCGCTGATACTTATTGAGGGAAATTACTGGTGCTGATCCTGCCGTGTGACGAAATGGGTAAGGGGGGGTTTTCGCTCTCTGTCTTTGATTGACTCCCGGGCGGGCGTGTGCACGTCCTAGTCCCTTATTACTCTGTGTTAACGTCGAGCCGGATTTGCAATTTGGCTGTGCTGAACACGGGAAATTAGACACCCGTGGACCGGGCGCTCTTGTGTATGGTAGTTATGCGCAGGCACGGTGCAATATGGTTCGATTTAGATTATGTTCTAATTAATATCTACCCCGTAATTGCTTTGATTTTGAAGTAAGCATCGCCACTGTTTGGTACTTATAATCATGAACTGGAATAACCCTGTTGATGCCTTTGAATCCCCGATTTCCACATGCGATTATATACAAGTCCACAAGTCGCGACGCTCCTGTCTTGAAACCCCGTTTATAGTCCGTACGAAGGCAAAGTGCACGAGCACAAAGTATCGGATATTGCCTATCGTTGCCGAACAAGGCTAAACCACTTGTCCACCGATCTCGTTACTTGTAAGATCGACTGGCTGAAGTCGACTAACTTCTCCACTCATGTTTGCTTTTTCCCTTGGCTTCTCGTACTCCTGAGACTTGACATCCCCGAAAGCCGATGAGTGACGATGGTAGCCGCTGAGCCTGGGTAGCCTGTCCGAGCATTCGTCCATGCACGGGTCTCCTTTTGCGCGCCTTCAACAAGCGGGATAGTTATTTTCTTACACTCCAGCTCCATCTGCACTGTTGAACATAGTCTATGCTTAGAATGGATCTCCCATTTATAGTCAGACATATATCCACTTCGTGCTCACACTTTGTCCTATAAAATTCTAGTTCTCCTAACAGAACTAGCTAAACAGCTCATTTTTATTTCTGCGAACTGGCTACACAAAGAAGCCAAATGTTAGCTCGGTTACTCCAAGGTTGAGGTCCGAGACTTCGCTCCTTTACTATTCGTCCACGAGATGCTTTGTTAATAAAAGGTCAGATGGTGTGGAATTACTCGGTGAACGCTCAGGGCATGCTCAGTGACCTCAGTGCTCAGAACACCTGGGCAGATGAAACTACTTTACCTAATCATCTGTCTGATAGGATGAAAGAATCCATCCCAGAGAGTGATAAACTTACTATACGAAGTAAATTCCAAATCAAGTACCGCTTAATGGCAGATGCCCGGCTTACATTCACTCGTGAGTACCTATTACCAGGCATTGGAAGCCGAACATAACTTGTTCAGGTTGGCGAAACCCAGCCGAAGTATACATGAACTATCATACCAATAAGTGTTGGTGGGTATGAAAAAGCATCACGGCACCGTCAGCAGTCGTGCATGACTGCGAAACACGGTCCTGATTGATGTATGACCACGGCGCGGACGGAAAACTTCCAAGTCGCCTCTATATCTGAAGCACCAGTTACAAGGCGCTTATTCGTAAGCTGGCATTCTACACCTAGGGGCTACGAGAGCCCATCAATGATTCAAATATGACGGATAGATCAGTCATCCGTAGAAACTGCCATGCCTCAAGACACAAGGTCTCAAGTCAAAAAGCCTACCATTCCAGAAAGGTGACACACGCATTACACTCCTTAGACGTAAGATCCTATCTACATGAATAACCTTGGAATGCTAGAATGACTCCAGCAAACATCATGTCATCCATTACTATACTACGTGCATTTACTTCACGTCAGTATGATCTAGCGCGCAGATAGACAAATAAGGAGTCGCACTACATTTACTTCTTACAATCACGTCTAGTATAAGGAGGCCACAGCCTGCTGAGGTTGCTCCCGCGAATCTCCCCTTCGAAGGCCATAATGATTTTTGCCCTTCGTTCATCAAGAGCCTCTTCTTTCAGTCAACTAGTGTTTCGTCTTGCCCAGAGACGTGGAATTGCAACTTCACCCATCGCCATGACACCCCGCATCATCGACACGATCAAAAAGGACCACCGGGAGATTGAGTCATATTATGGCAAGATAATTACCTCCAAGGACCCAGACGAGCAGACCCGCTTCCAGAATATGTTTACCTGGGAACTAGCTCGACACTCCATTGGAGAAGAGCTTGTTATATATCCTCTCTTTGAGAAAATGTTCTCCGATGGCGTGCAAATGGCCAATAAGGACCGCGACCAGCATATGCAAGTGAGTTAGGCTCTTCTGCGACCTAGGTACCTATTATAGTGCTAACGTGATCTGATGAGTTAGGTTAAAAAGCAACTGAAGGCGTTCCAAAACATGACACCTTCAGAGGCGCAGTTTATTCCTACTATCAGGGACCTGATGGAGCACCTTTCCGAGCACATCAAAGAGGAGGAGAGTGACGACTTGCCTAGACTGGAGGCAGCCTTGACTCAAGAGGATAGTGAGGACTGTTCTAGGACATTTGGCCGAACGAAGATGTTCGTCCCTTCACGTTCTCACCCCAGTGCACCAGACAAGCCTCCGTACGAGACGGCCGTGGGGCTTCTAACGGCGCCTATCGATCATCTCGCCGACCTCTTCCGTAAGTGGCCTGATACTTCGGGGATGCCTAATCCCACTACCAAATAAAATTCGCCGGTGTGAGCCTTGCAGGCTGTGTGCATTATATTGGAACTCTTTCCTGGACATTGTATACTTAAAATGCTGTTCATTGGTTTATACTATCGTATATTCTATATGTTAAGGCTGGTTCATTAATTTGGATTGAGGCTGTGATCCACGAATTTGGTTCAAGATATACAATCCACAATTATGGCGATGTGACGTGGTGGACACAAATATTGGGTGGCACGAGCCCGGCCTCATCAGCAGTTCTCTCGGGGTCTACCTTGCCACATGAATCAATATATGCTCTTGAGCCTGCATAGACTCTAGAGACCACTCGAACTTGGCGCTGACATTCCCTTCTTATGGCGCTAGTAATATTCTTTGAAATTCCCCGGGATGGATCGACGTGAGGGCCATGGGAAAGCTTTCAGTGGAGGCAACTATACCTAGGTCGGATAGACGTCAAAGGACACCTCGTGGCGTTGGGTACCTAGGTAATAACCTTGGAAGGTTCCTTGAAACTGCCCCAGATGGATTGTCGTGGATTGTCGTGAGGCCATGGCAAAGCTTCCAGTGGAGGCAAATATAGCAATCTGGGGTTAGGTAGACGTCAAGGTGACTCCATCGAGACCCCGTGGCGTTGCATATTGCATATAAATAAGTGGTGAATTTGGCCTAGGATCATACATGTCAATAATCCAAACTATCCGCAAGGACATATTTTACTACTTTGTACATATTGCCACATATCACAATGGTTGACGACCAGAACCCTGTCAACCAGAACCCCGGTAATTTCCGCAACCGACCTCACGAACAGGTCGAGAATATTGCTCGAAAGGGTGGACAGTCTAGCCACCACAGCGGATTCGCTTCTATGGATCCCGGGAAGCAGGTTAGTACAAACAGCGTTCTAATGTAGCAAACTCATAACTAACAATTCTCCAGAGGAGCATCGCCTCGAAAGGTGGCCACGCTTCACGTGGAAAGTTCGAGCCAGGAAGTCCGAGAGCCAGGGAAGCAGGCCGGAGGGGAGGTAAAGCCGTCCACCACCAGCAGGAGCAGGAGCAGGAGCAAGGGCCTGAGGAATAAGGTGATCACTTTATCGCGAGGCACGGGGTTCGCAGGCTGGCAAGCTAGCCCAGCTATCCTTAGGTTGTAAATATGAATCAAATGAATTAGCCGTTCTGTTGCCCAACCTTTTCTTTGGTATTGTAGAATTCCGAATAGGCGAGCATGCGTATTCGGTCGGATAGGTAGTAATCAATAAACTTGTTTACTTGAAAGGCAGCCAACATTTTATGCTCTTGAAACACATCTGATACCCGCTCTACTAAAGGCCCACATAGAATCTTAACATTATAAAAAGGATCCTTAAGATTAAGGTAATCTATAACCTAATAAGCTAATCGAAGAAATCAAGGAAATCCACAACCATTAATGCTACTGCCTGTTGTCTATGGCATGATAACCTGCATAGCCGAAAACATGGGAACGCGCAATCACCCGTTGCCCGGCAACGAGGTTCAGCGTCGATCAGAGTCTCGTACATTACCCTCTTTCTTTGTTTGTGAGCAAATAAAGTCGGGTTAATAAATGTGACTCTTTGGTACTCTTAATGATTGGTCTGGTAATATACAAAGGCGGCGAGACCCAGCCCTGAAGGTTTGGATCGTAAACTTGTTTACTGAAGTTCTACAATGGTACCCCCTTCAATATCTCTTTGCCTTTCTACCTTTCCGTTGACATTGACGTTGACATTGACGTTAACATTGACGTTGACATTAACACCTGTCAAATTTAATATCTACATTGCACACTCCGAAAATAGACCTTCACGTGGCCATGCTCGCCGATCCTGGAATGTATCCTTGCTTCTGATTGTCTCAGATCGGAAACAGCATGAAGAATCGCAAGGCAAAGGCACTTGCGCTTCTTGCGCTAGTTGGCCCCTCTACTGCAATTCCATACACCCCATCCTCCATCTTCCTTTCCCCACAACACAATGACTCCATCGCATACATCCTCCGGCCCAGCTCCATCGGTGCAACCGAGTTCGTCTCGCTCAACCTGTCCAGCGTGGATGCCAAGAATCTATCATATCAAACCTTGCTGAAGAGCACGCCGTTCTACAGTTCTGATCAGAACTCGAGTTTCATCTCTGCCATCAATGACCAAGGGCTCATCACGGTCTACTCGGGAAACTGCCACAGTGCATCCGATAGCCCAGTACTATGGCAGTTCCACCCAAATAGCAAAAGCCCAATCGGCAATGGGACTTGGGATAGACTCCCAGTTATCACCAGCGACGCAAAAACCGCACCGAACTATTTGGCGGCGGGGTTCACGTATTCGGTATCCCGCCACGAAAATGAGAGCTCCATGTACGCTTTTGGTGGGATGTGTCCATTCGCGAACAGCACGGACGAGACATGGGTCTCGGAAGCCGACTACTCCCGGTCAACGGTCGTGTTAGGGCCGAGTCCCTATTACAACACCAAGTTCACCGCCGCCACTACCGGCAAGCGCGCACCGCCCGTCGCTGAAGCTGGAATGGCCGTCGTGCCGCTTCAGCCTACTTATGCTGCCGGCTCTACGGGTAAACAACAGGACTTTTTGTTCATTGGTGGTCACACCCAGCAAGCGTTTCTTAACATGTCGCAACTTGCAATTTTCTCGCTGCCGCAGCAAAGCTGGAGCTTTGTCACTGCCATCTCGAATGCGACGCCAGAGACAGAGACTGAACTGACTGTTCGGGATGGGATTTCTATCGAGCCACGCTCCGGCCACACTGCGGTTCTCTCGGAAGATGGCAATAAAGTATTCGTATTTGGAGGTTGGGTTGGGGATATGACTGTCCCTGCTGAGCCGCAATTCGCAGTCCTGGATCTCGCGGAAGGGTTTGGCGGAACCACCGAATGGATTTGGACAGCACCCTCCTCCGAAGGATCAGGGATCGCCGAGGGTGCTGGCATCTTCGGACATGGAGCGGCAATGCTCCCTGGGGGCGTGATGATGATCTCTGGAGGCTACAATATTCCGAAACAATCTTCGAAACGGGCCTCAGCGACTGCACAGCCCAACCCGCGGGTCTATCTCTATAACGTGACTTCGAGCAGCTGGGTCACTTCTTACAGCAATCCTGCAGCCAGTTCCTCGAAGGCTTCCCCCCGTTCCAGTAAGCTTTCATCATCCCAAAAGGCCGGCTTAGGTGTTGGACTGGGCGTTGGATGCCCCGCTGCTATGGCCATCGTTTTGTGTGGATGGAACTACCACCGAAAGCGCCGCGTAAAGAACAAACGAGACTCGCAGCTACGGGAACTTGCTTTGGGGGCAGAGCGAGCTCACTTTTGGGATCGAGATTGTCCAACACAAGCAAGCAGTATTCGGAGTTCTGGAACGAGCGAAAAAAGGGATGCCCCCTTGTATCCTTGGTCGTCAAATCGCAGCCAGGCGACACGACCCAACTGGAAAGACCAGGGTGAAGGCACAGCGGAGAGGACTGGGCTGCTAAAGGACCCTCCTAGTCCAGCCAAGAATAACCGGCCCCCTGTGATACCTCCAGTGAGCAATAGGCCATTCTCATATCGAAACAGTGAATACAGGCGCAGTGATACTACTGGCGATATCCACCCCATTGATGAACGCGAAGAAGATGAAGCGGTCTTCCGAGAAAATCTCATGGCAACCATCCCAGCTGGAACCATACCCACGGTGAGGACGACGGAGCCGGAAGACCCCTTCTCAGATACACCCTACGCAACTCCTCGGAGCACCATCTTCGGCGTCGGCCTAGGTCCTTTCTACAGCCGGCGAAAGGATATTGGATCTGTGGATGTCGAGTCCCCGACAAAAAGCGAACGGACAGCCACCAACCTGTCAGATAACTCAGCCTTCTCTTTTGCGTCCTCCCAGCCTATAGGCAAGGTCAACCAAGCACGAGGCATCCTCGTTGATCGACCTCTGAGCTGGGGCAGTGGGCGCCAGTCACTAGAATACCTCGCCGAAGCCTCAGCACACAGCGACCCAGACGGCGTAGCCCCCTCGGAGAAATCAGTGTCAGCGGATTCCTACTCTACTGCCCAGACAAACATATCCCACCGCCAGTCAGAGAACGAGTCCCTCCTCTTTGACGCCCTCGACCCCATGACGCCCTCATCCCCCTCAAAACTGCCACGAGAATCCAAGCCAAAAGCCTCCGATTGGGTAATGAACACCATGCGCCGAGCCCTAACAATGACCCGCCGCAGCCCCGACAGCCAGCTAGACTCCGGTTCTAGTACCACTAGCACAGCGCCCCGCGCCTCCGGCATTGATCGCCGCAGCACGCTCGGATCCGGCCAACAATCTACAGGCTCGGGGGTCAGTTCGCCCCGCCGAGCAGTCAGCGCTTCAGCAGAGTTATTCCGCCGCAAGCAGGGTGCCAAGGACTGGAACGCGCGCAAGCGAGTCTCAGACGATGTTTTCAACACTGCTCGGTCTACACGCGACGATCTTTTCATTGGCGCGCCTGGATACCTGGGTAACGAAGCTGGCTTCGGCGATGACGAGGAAGATGTCCATGATTGGGACCTGGAGGGTGCTGCCGAGGGCCGACGAGTTCAGACGACTTTTACTGTTCCTCGGGAGAAACTCCGCGTTGTTAATGCTGCCGATGGCGATATTGATAGTATGTCTGAGCGCTCTGTTAGTTGGGGCACTGGGATTCGGAGAGTTAGTACCTAGATCTGAGATCTGGGGTTTTTGCCTCTTCTACTGATTGTGTTCTTCTTTTTTTGTTTTATCTTCTCACTTGTACTTTTGCATTTGCCTTTTTTGGGTTAGGTGAGCCTGGTCTGGTGTCTGCATTTATGAGACCCTAGAGATATGTTGTGTTGCATTGCATTGCGTCGTTTCTACACAACTTCGGCGTACGATTTTTCGTTTGCCATTTTCTCGCTTGGAGTCTTTCTGTCACACTGTGTTTTGCGGGTGGGTGCTGTTTTCTGTCGTTTTGATATCCACAGCGATGTTTTGATGCCATTCCGAGATGAGATCATTGTCCTGATGAATCGACGTTTCCTTTTCTTACGTGATTCTTCCTGCAGAGTGAGCACTTGTTGGATTAGGTAGCGAGTCCGAAATTGATGTCTTTTGAGGTTTATTGAGCCTTCGGAAGTAACTGCAATTCTTAAACAATCTCGTATGCTGGACATTCTGTAGAAGACAAGGATGTAGTTTCTCCCAAAATTGCTAAATGCATGAATACGGCATCTATATAACGCTTTTGTAGCTCCATGATCATCAGACATATAGACTCAGACATGACCCTCCTTAATGACGCTTGCGTATAACATTTTTAATATAACTCGTCAGGTTTCCTCCAGCCTACGACGAAGGAGCACCATTGGGCGCGGTAGCAGGATGAGTAGGAATAGTCTGAGGCTTACGTGGAAGCAGGTTCTTGGCGCCTTCACGGGCATACTGAGCCATGAGTGCATCCATGACAACCAGCGACGACATAGCCTCAACAATAGGGACAGCACGGGGGGTAACGCAAGGATCGTGGCGACCCTTAGCCTCCAGGATACCCTCCTCGCCGTTGTAAGAAGTAGTGGTCTGCGCCTGGCCGATAGTAGCAGCGGGCTTGAACGCGACGCGGAAGTAGATGGACGCGCCGTTGGAGATACCACCCTGGATACCGCCAGAGTTGTTAGTCTTGGTAGCGAGGCGGGGGCCGCCGGCCTCAGACGTGGACGAGTTGGCGACGAAGGGGTCGTTGTGGATTGAGCCAGGCACCTCGCAGCCGCCGAAGCCGGAGCCGATCTCGAAGCCCTTGGTTGCGGGGATGCTGAGCATCGCGTGGCCGAGCTTGGCTTCAAGCTTATCGAAGCAGGGCTCGCCCAGTCCCACAGGCACGTTGCGGATCACACATGTTACGGTTCCACCGATGCTGTCGTGGTTGTCGCGGAACTTCTCGATGACTTTGGTCATGCGCTCCGCCGCGGCGGTTTCCGGGCATCGGATAGGAGCGAAGGAGTCGACGGTCTTGCGGTCGATCGTCTCGATCAGCTTAAGGAACTCCGGGTTCGTGGAGGGGGAGGGGTGTTCGGGGGTTGGGGGGAAGAGGTGCTCGTTGCCGACGGAGGAGACGAAGGCGACGATTTCGATGTTATGCGCCAGGCTGAGGAACTTCTCGGCGATGGCGCCGGCAGCGACACGGCCTGTACGAATTGGGTTAGCGAGAGTAGTTGTTTCTGATTTTGATTGTTACACATAACGTACCAATAGTCTCACGGGCACTGCTGCGACCACCACCGCTGCTGGCCTTGACGCCGTACTTCTCAAGATAGGTGAAGTCGGCATGGCTAGGGCGGGGGTACAGGTCCATTGTGCTGTTGCCGTAATCCTTGGGACGCTGGTCCTCATTGCGGACGACCATGGCAATTGGTGTGCCCAGAGTGATGCCGAACTCTGTGCCTGACTGGATCTCGACTCGGTCCTTCTCGTCCCGCGGGGTAGTGAGGGCGCTTTGGCCGGGACGGCGCCGGGTCATTTGGGGCTGAATATCGGCCTCGGTGAGTTCTAGGCCCGGAGGACATCCGTCGACGATGCAGCCGACGGAGCGACAGTGGGACTCGCCATAACTAAATCGTGGGTGTCAGCAGCGATGCGTGTGATGAGAAGTGGGCAACTTACGTGGTGACACGGAAATATTGACCCCACGTCGACATGATGGGCGTTCAAAGATGGTCGCAAGGTATTGAAGGACAGTTACAAGTCCAAAAACCCCGAGATCAATAAAAACAGTAGAATAGGAAGAGAGAACAAGGTCGGTTGACCGCAAGTAGAAAAAAGGAAATTGGAAATCGACTCATCGCTGAGATTCCTATCTGGGACTAGCGCAACCGACTATCGGCGTATAACCTTCGTGATGCGATCAATAACTTCGTTCACCCTTTGCTCCAATGCTCGCCGTTCGAGGATGTTCCTCGTCTTTGGCACTTCGGACTAATCCACTGAAGCATATCTGGATCCGCCATAATTCATCATATCCCGCTCACGAATTCGCCGAGCTCGCCAGCCGTCCCTCCTCTTTACACCAGATCTACCAATCGCTATCAACAGATCCCTACGTGAACCTTTCGATCGAGCACTTTCTGCTAGAAAATGCCCCGGCAGAGTCCAGCATTTTGTTTCTTTATGCCAATCGACCGTGTGTAGTCATTGGTCGCAACCAGAACCCATGGCTTGAGACAGATCTCCGCGCACTTCATAATGACCGCAGGAACGGCACGGCTGGAGAAGACGAAGCTGCAGTATTCGTTCGCCGGCGATCAGGTGGGGGCGCTGTCTTCCACGACGAGGGCAACTTAAATTACAGCGTTATATGTCCGCGTACCTCGTTTACGCGCGACAAACACGCCGAGATGGTGGTGCGCGCACTTCATCAGGTCGGAGCTACCAACACCAGTGTCAATGAGCGGCACGATATTGTCATGGCCCGAGCACAGGGAATGCAAAATGATCCCAACGAGCCTCTAACGCGAAAGGTCTCTGGCTCTGCGTTTAAGCTCACTCGATTCCGAGCCCTCCATCACGGTACTTGCTTGCTCGCTTCCCCGAATATTCATGATCTTGGCCGGTACCTGCGATCATCCGCCCGCCAGTATATCCAGGCCAAGGGCGTTGAAAGCGTTCGTTCCCCAGTCGGGAATGTGTCGGCTGCGTTGGCCGACTCGTTCTTTTCCATGCAGGGCGTGGTTGCGAGTGTGATCGAGCAGTTTGCTCGGCTCTACCAGGTACATCCCGATGCTGTTCTCAGGGCTCAGCGTGCTCATGCCAATGAGCCTGAAGTCTTTGCTGGAGATTCTTGGGTAGCTGGTACAGTGGGAGAAGTGCAAGGCGAGCAGGTGCCTGCCATTGGGAAAGGAATTGCCGAGTTGCGCTCGTTGGAGTGGAAGTACACTCAAACACCGCGGTTTATTTTCTCAACGTATCCCATCGAGGAAGATCCTCGTGAACGGCCGCCACTGCCCTCCTCGCTCCCCTCAAGTACTCGTGCATTCCTCCGTCTGCAGCACGGCGCTGTCGTCGAAAGCCACATCTCTGTCTCACCAGATGAGTCCACCGCATCTGACCAAGCCATTCGTGTCCATTCAGCGCTAAATGGACAGAAGCTGCATGAGATTACCCTAGCCCGGTGGACCGAAATCCTAAAGCAGGGTCTTGGTGAAACCGAGGGAGTCGGTGATGCTCTTGTGGAAGAGCTGGCCCGATTCTTGGGTGGCCTTTTGGGTGGTTAGTTGTCCAATTGCATCGGTGCCGTGCAATGGCTGATGTGTATATATTGAATGCTCTTGGGCCCTTTGTACAAAAAAATAATACTATGATATCCTATATGACAAGAGCCACATTATTGGTTCCTTTGCCCGTCTCCTTCATTGGTGGACGATAATTTCCCCACTTATCAGATCCTCACAGCCTATTTCGAACAGACTAGCCTCTTGTCACTGACGATCTCCCCACGTTACGTCGACCGGCTAAATCCAAACCCCACGCCAGCGCCAGGTTCCGCCAGAACTGCGCACGGATCCAACTGGCTGAATCGGCATTCTCAGCGAAATCCGATTCGCAATAAAATGACCTCAGGTGTTCTATAGGTCGGCATAGTCACGCGAACCCCGATATCAAATGGTTATCAAGAAACTTATAATCGGCGATTAACCTGGTGCCATTCTTCATAAAACCTACAAACACCCTATCAAACAAGCGAAAGCTACCATAACAGCGCAAACTCATCATAGCCTCAAGGCCTATAGACTTACGATGTCTATCCACGCTAACGGCCGAACGCCCTCACAGGCCTTCAGTAAATCCCCCTTCCGCACCAGATCCGACCTACAAGAAGCATGCCGCGCCATTCTCGACCCGCTAGTACCCCTCTTTACAGTAGGCGGTACGCGTGTCAAAGTTGGCACATCGACGACACGATTCGACGAAGGCGGGGCCCAGATAGAGGGATACGCACGCCCGCTATGGGGTCTGGCCTCGCTGCTAGGCGGCGGATATGAATATGCCGAGGCTGAGCGCTGGCGTCAGGGAATCATCAACGGCACTGATCCCGCACACCCGGAGTTCTGGGGCAACATCGAGGATATGGACCAGCGCATGGTAGAGATGTGTCCAATTGGGTTTACGCTTGCTGTTGCGCCTCATGTCTTTTGGGATCCATTGACGGAGAAGCAGAGGGGGAATGTTGGTAGTTGGTTGGCGAGTATCAATGCGCGCGAGATGCCAAATACGAATTGGTATGTTATTACTTGACCTGTCCAGGATGGTCTTTTTCTGGTGTGGATTGAAGGAGTGGGCTAATTATGGCTGGGACGATTGTAGGCTGTGGTTCCGCGTCTTTGCAAACCTGGGCCTCAGAAAGAATGGCGCTGAGTACTCTTTGTCTCGTATAGAGGCTGATATGGACCATCTTGATACCTTCCATATTGGCGGAGGATGGAGCAACGATGGTCCTAAGAGTCATCATCAGATGGATTACTACTCGGGCTCATTCGCCATTCAGTTTTTGCAGCTTCTTTATTCGAAGCTGGCGGGTGACTTTGATCCTGAACGTGCTGAGCGCTATCGTCAGCGGGCTCGGGAGTATGCTAAAGATTTTGTGCACTACTTCGATCCTAACGGTATGTCTCAGCGGGTCTTTCTGATATGATTCTCCCTCTTCCTTTTGAGAG